TGATGAACTCTAAATCCTGACTGAAAATCCTCAAATAAACTATTGTTATGTAGAAAGTCACACAACTCTTTGGCGACTACTTTCTCCAGAATCTTAGAGAGGAACGGGAGGTTAGAAATCGGTCTATAGTTGGCTAAAACCCCTGGGTCAAGAGTAGACTTTTTAAGAAGGGGTTTAATTACAGCTACTTTAAAGGACTGTGGTACATATCCTGATAATAAAGAAAGATTAATCATATCCAGTAAAGAAGTGCCAATTAAGGGAACAACTTCTTTAAGCAGCCTAGTTGGGATCGGGTCTAACAGACAGGTTGATGGCTTCGATGAAGAAATGATTGAAGTTAACTGATGAAGATCGATAGCAGAAAAACAGTCTAAATATACATCTAAGTTTACATTGACAGAAGTCCCTGAACTTGGAGAGCCACTGATAACCGTTGATGGCAGTTGGTGATTAATTTTTTCTCTAATAGTAATAATTTTATTATAGAAGAAGCTCATGAAGTCATTGCTACTTAAGTTTATGGGGATATGTGGCTCAATAGAGCTGTGACTCTCTGTCAGCCTGGCTACAGTGCTGAAGAGGAACCTAGAGTTATTCTTATTTTCTTCTATTAGTGCTGAGTAATAGGCTCCTCTGGCATTACGGAGGGCCTTTCTATAAATCTTAAGATCATCTTGCCAATTTGAGCGATATTCTGATAATTTGGAAGAGCGCCATTTCCTTTCAGATTTCCTAGCTGTTTGCTTTAACTGGCGGGTTTGGTGGTTATACCAAGGTGCTAGTCTCCTATGTTTTAATAATTTCCTTTTTATAGGAGCGATAGAGTCTAATGTTGATCGTAGTGAGCCTGTAGCACTATCGACAAGATTATCAATTTCAGAGGGACTAAAGTTGTTATAGGACTCTGTTAAATTCAGACATGGCATTGAATTAAACACTGAAGGAATCTCCTCCTTAAATTTAGCTACAGCACTGTCAGATAGACATCTGCTGTAGGAAGTTTTGCCTAATGGCTTATAATCTAATAGTATGAATTCAAAAGTTACTAAATAATGGTCAGATAGGATCAACATTAGACTCTATCGCTCCTATTAAAAGGAAATTATTAAAACATAGGAGACTAGCACCGTGGTATAACCACCAAACCAGCCAGATAAAACAAATAGCTAGGAAATCTGAAAGGAAATGGTGCTCTTCCAAATTATCAGAATATCGCTCAATTTGGCATCATAATCTTAAAACTTATAGAAAGGCCCTCCATAATGCCAGAGGAGCCTATTACTCAGCACTAATAGAAGAAAATAACAATAACCCTAGGTTCCTCTTCAGCACTGTAGCCAGTCATAGCTCTATTGAGCCACATATCCCCATAAACTTAAGTAGCAATGAGCTTCTTCTATAATAAAATTATTACTATTAGAGAGAAAATTAATCACCAACTGCCATCAGCAGTTATCAGTGGCTCTCCAAGTTCAGGGACTTCTGCCAATGTAAACTTAGATATATATTTAGACTGTTTTTCTGATATCGATCTTCATCAGTTAACTTCAATCATTTCTTCATCGAAGCCATCAACCTGTCTATTAGACCCGATCCCAACTAGGCTGCTTAAAGAAGTTGTTCCCTTAATTGGCACTTCTTTACTGGATATGATTAATCTTTCTTTATTATCAGGATATGTACCACAGTCCTTTAAAGTAGCTGTAATTAAAACCCTTCTTAAAAAGCTCACTCTTGACCCAGGGGTTTTAGCCAACTATAGACCGATTTCTAACCTCCCCTTCCTCTCTAAGATTCGGGAGAAAGTAGTCACCAAAGAGTTGTGTGACTTTCTACATAACAATAGTTTATTTGAGGATTTTCAGTCAGGATTTAGAGTTCATCATAGCACAGAGACAGCTCTGGTTAAAGTTAATAATGACCTTCTGATTGCTTCTGACAATGGACTTGTCTCTGTACTTGTATTATTAGATCTTAGTGCTGCATTTGACACCATTGACCATAATATTCTTTTACAGAGACTTGAGCATCAAATTGGCATTAAAGGAACCGCACTAAGCTGGTTTAAGTCATATTTATCAGATCGCTCGCAGTTTGTACATGTTAACGATGAATCTTCAATAAGTACTACAGTTAGTCATGGAGTTCCACAAGGTTCTGTACTTGGACCAATACTATTTACTTTATATATGCTCCCTTTAGGCAACATTATTAGGAATCACTCCATTAACTTTCACTGTTATGCAGATGATACGCAGTTATATCTATCAATCAAGCCCGATGAAATTAATCAATTATCTAACATGTCTTAAGGACATAAAATCCTGGATGACCTGCAATTTTCTGATGTTAAACTCAGAAAAAAACGAAATTCTTGTTCTTGGCCCCAAAAACCTTAGAGACTCACTGTCTAAAGATATAGTTATTCTAGATGGCATTATGATGGCAGGTGAGTCCTGAACCATCCCTTAGTTATGCTGCTATAGGCCTAGACTATCGGGGGATTTCCCATGGTGCACTGAGCTCCTCCCTTCCTCTCTCTTTCTGCACTCATTCATGTTCCATTAATGCATGTTACTAACTTCACTTCTTCCCCGGAGTTCTTGTGCTTTCTCGTCTCGCAGGTTCTTATCAATCCTGGTGGAGCCTCCTGCCATGGTCCTGCCAGATTACCCATTGCCAATACTGTTGTTGCTGTGCACCTTTCTGTCTGTCTCTCTCTCTCTCTCTCTGCACTGTCTAAAAACAAGCTCCTTTAGCTCACTTAAATCTTGCTCTTTAGGTGATTTTGTCTTATATTAAGTGTGATGAGATGTTCTGACCAGAAATTAGAAAAATATACTTGGCAAAATTTTGAGTTTTTGCAGTGAGGGGAGATGGTAAATGATTATAAAGCAGATGGGGTCTTCACACGCAATTTCAAAAGTTAAGATTTCAAAACTGCCAGAAGAGCCAGGGCTGAGTGGAATACAAGTAAAATGTTTTTTAAAGACAACTGCAATACCCCCACCCTGGCCTGTTAATCTTGGTGAATTTAAAAATGTCATTAGGTCATTGCAATAACCAGTGTACTTTACAAACCAAACTTCACATGTCTGATAAGAGCAGGGCCAGCCCAAGGCATAAGCGAACTAAGCAGCTGCTTAGGGCCCCGTGACCACTAGGGGGCCCCGAGAGCAATTAACTTAAAAAAGAAAAAAGTAATTAATTATTTTTTTCCATGTGTGAGTGATGATGATTCATATATTATCAAATGTACATTCTTGTACAAAAAAAACCCAACAACAATATGATGTTAACAGAGTGTACTTTCCTACTGCCTCTCTGCTCGAAATGTCAGAGCTCCGCTAGTAACGTGTGCAGTGCGCACTGAGCATCCAGGAGCTAGGAGCAGGTGAAAGATGTCGCAAAAAAGGACTTACCCTTCAGGGGCAGAAAAAAGAAAAAGGAAGAAAGAAGAAGAAAAGAAAAAACGACAAGATAAAGGTATATCTTGGTAATGTTACATTTGGTGTCAAGGAGATTTTGAAAAGTTCCCTGAAATTAGGAAAGTCCTTAATTATTGTTGATATTTTGTTCCAAATACATTAGCCTATAATAGCAAATTTTCTAGCTAACATTAGTTCAAAACGTCTTACTACTTATGGGTAGGTTAGATAGCTTACTATTCAAGCCAACGTTTTTGTGTTTGTGTAATACTTTGAATAAGTTGATTCTCAGTGTATATATATTATTGTGGGTCGCTTTTTGGCATCAAACGCGGTGACATTTGCTAGCAATATGGTTTTGCATCAATGAATTAATTTAGTTAACTTATAGTTTGAGGTATGTTGTTTGCAGTTGTTTGCTGCAGAGCACAGTAATTTATGTGAGTAAATAAACATATTCCTTTTACATCAACTCCCTATTATGCTCATACATTATATGAAACTTCCCCAGGAGCACTGTTAGAATATTTTGGAGGAGGCACTGACTCAGCCCAGGAGCAATCCACCTCCTCAGGAGCAGCCAAGGCTGATGAATCAGGTGATCAAAAACTGTCACCATATATATTTAATTTCTAGTCAAATTATCTCATTAAGATATATTAATATAAGATATAGTCATATGACAAGGGACGTGTTTTTCATCTCAGGTCCATCTCTGTCCTCTGCTCCATCCACTGTGCCCACTGTCCTCTCTGCAATCTCAGCTGTACCTGGTAAGTTAACAACAAAACAGCCTTTAATTGCTCAGTGCACTGCAGAACATACTGAGATGAATATTTTTTTAATATAAGATATAAGATATAATCATATGACAAGGGACATGATTTTAGACAAATCCATATTATTTCAAAACTTCTCAAACAATTTTCTGTTGTTCCACTGGCAGTTTGTTTAATTATTACAAGCTATAGCTGTACTTTTTATTTAGAAAATAAGCTGCATCATTTTCAAGTGTAATATGACTATAACATGGCTAGCTTTTGTTTTTGTTGTTTTTCATCTTAGGTCCATCTCTATCCTCTGCTCCATCCACTGTGCCCACTGTCCCTACTGTGTCTTCTGCAACCTCAGCTGTACCTGGTAAGTTAACAACAAAACAGCCTTTATAATTACTCAGTGTACTGCAGAATATTCTGAGATGAATAATTTTGTCCAAAAATATTATTTTAATTTCCCTATAGGTCCTTCATCGTTGGTCATCGAGACTAATTTGTCTTCTTCAGCATCCAGTTTGGAGCAGGGATCAGCAGCTCCGCCAGTTGACCCAGCTGAGTGTCCCTCCTTCCTGTCAGACTCAGAAAGGACTGAACAGGTATTAAGAGGGCCACTGCCTATAAAGGACACATTCACATTCCCAAAAAGACACATGGCAGTAATAGAGGGCCCCAAAATCAAATTTAGCTTAGGGCCCCACGGAGGCTTGGTCCGGCCCTGGATAAGAGCCTGAACACATCTACATGCCAATATTACACACTCATAGCTCCCCAATGTAGTTCAGTCAGGACCACCTTCGTCAAAAGAAAACTTTATTTCCAAATTCAGAATGTTATATTCTGCAGTATGGCTTTGTTATGGGACCTCCTTGCCTCTCCACATGTATACATAGAAGCCTAAGGCAGGGAGAGCACATATCCTAAACCCAACAGGAAGTCAGCCATTTTGAATTTAATGTCCAATTTCGGTGCTATTTCCAGGTGTTGTACTTCTCCTAGAGAATTGAATGGAGCAACTTCAAGTTTGGTCAGTGCACTCTAAAGATGAGGGGAAAAAAAGGAGAAGCCTTCTCTGGTGGCTCACCATCTGATTTATATGAAATTTTCAAGCTTGGTAACCCGGCCACACCACACCCAGATACACACGTACTGCAAGGCTCCATTCATCGCTGCTTGCTGCTTTAATTATATGCATATGTTATAATATATTAATTATATTTTTATAAATATTACAGATGTATACTGTAGATATGTATATAAATATCAGGTGTGTACTTTCTCCTCCACCAGTCTTTGTCAGAGGTCTCAAGATGTCAGTCTTTAACAGACAGACATGATCAAAACTGTATATTTACTTTCCTGATGAGACTTCCTATAGTGCCACAGTCAGGAAAAAATGTTGACTGTCGTTGTGGAGCTGCACAACTTGATTACAAGTTATACAAAAATATCGGACAGTCAGCTACAACTTTAAATCCGAACTCTGAAAAGAAACGTTTTAATAAGACCTTTTCTACCAGTCAGACCAGTAACAAACCGTCTGTAAACCAGTTAATCCAGTATTTAACAGGTAGTATTCCAATTAGACCAGTAGTTAAGATGCAGTTTCCAGTTGAGCCAGTAGTTAAGATGCAGTTTCCAGCTAAACCAGTGCTCTGAAGATGAAGGACAGAGCAGCTCCTAAAGCCAACCCCAGAGACAGAAAGAAAGCCATGATTGCTCCAGCTGTTTCTGCTTCATGAGGAAGAACATTCCTGTAGAACAACCAGAGATATTTATTAATTATTATCTGGTTCATTATAACTCAACTGGTACCATTTATTGCTTTAGGGTATTGCACAATATATCAATATATTACAAATAAATAAATGACAAAAATATATTTTATTTGGTGCATTTAGGTGTGTTTTGGTGTATGTTATTTTGTGTCAGTTCCTTACTTTGGTCCAAAGCACATGCAGAGGCTGGCCAGGTATCCGTTACTGAAGGCAAAGAGGATCATGAAGAAGATGAACCAGCCGTCATGATGGAAGAAGATGGGCAGATGGACACGAGGTTGGACGTTACACAACATGAGGAGCGGGACGAAGACAACACGGCACACGATGAACACAGGAAGTAATAGACTGTCCTTCCCTGGCTGGAAACAGAGACAATAACTGATAAGTTAATGAATCTTGCTGTTGTTTGTCCTTCAGCTGGGTGGAGACATGCTGTCTAAACCGGGTGGACACAAAGGAGGACATGTTAATGTGTGTGGTGTCGCTGTGGATCATTAAAACTGATCCAAGATCTATTTATTGTTTATTGATTAATATTGGATTTTTAATTTAAACTCACCCACATACAGACAGCCGTTAAGCTCCGCCCACCCCAGTCACACAGGTTAAAGAGCAGGAAACAGCTGACTGGGATGAAGTACTGGTCTGTGATCAAACAAGAAGTTGAAAATATTATCAGTGATGTGATGTTAAAAAAGACATCAGTGTGTTTGAAGAATTTATCTGTTATCTATTAATGTATCTGTTAATGTATCTACTATCTGTTAATGTATCTGTTAATGTATCTGCTATCTCTTAATGTATCTATTAATGTATCTGTTAATTTATCTGTTAATGTATGGTAAATGGTAAATGGACCTGTACTTGTAAAGCGCCTGTACCTGCAGTCAAGACAACTGAGAGGCTTGTAATCAGATTTGTGATCTGATCAATCAGACATGAAAATCAACCAGCAAACAGGCAGACAGCGGCTGTACAGTGTGATTAAAAGGATAGATGAGGAAGTGATGTGTTGACTCACCCCAGGAGCCTCCATTAGCGAGGGTGGATTTGGTGTCAGCAGTGATGGCAGGAAATGTGCCGATGGTTATGGTGAAGGTGAAACAGACCAACAGAGCCAACATCCAGATCTGAAGGTCAAAGGTCAGCAGGGTTCAAGGTTACACTCACACACACACACACACACACACACACACACACACACACAATCAATCAATTGAATGATTGACAAATATAAAGATTGTTTTAAGGTTAATTCATCTCATCTCTCATCTCATGTGGATGTTGACAATGACAGCCTTAGTAACGCATTTATATCATTAATAGACTCAATTGGCTTCTGTCAGAGTGTAAATAAACCAACTCATTGTTTTAATCACACTCTTGACCTTGTTCTATCATATGGCATTGATATTGAACATTTAATAGTCTTCCCACATAATCCTTTCCTATCTGACCATTATTTAATAACTTTTGAATTCATACTATTAGATTATAAGCCATTAGGCAAAGCTTCCTACAGCAGATGTCTATCTGACAGTGCTGTAGCTAAATTTAAGGAGGAGATTCCTTCAGTGTTTAATTCAATGTCTGAATATAACAGAGCCCTACCATAACTTTAGTACCTCCCATATTGATAATCTTGTTAGCAGTGCTGCAGGCTCACTACGAACAACATTAGATTCTCAATCAGGAGGCGTGTAACACTCAACCACGTGCTACGGTAAGCGTACTGACTCATTTCCGGTTTACTTCCTGCTCTATGTACACTGTTTGGTGCTGTAGCTCTGTCAGTGAACGCTGAATCTAAATTAGTTTTACTCGTTACAGCGGTCATTTTCCCGCTTAACATTTAAACGTAGACTAGTTCTACCTAAGCACTCGGGGTTACTCCTTCTTTTAGCGACTTTTCGCTATTTTCAAAGTTTTTCATACACGCTAGCTTCAGTAACATTAGCAGTTGGCTATGGCTTCTCCCTCTCCCTCTCCTCTGTCCTGCTCAGTGTGTCAGATGTTCAGTTATTCCTCTGCCTCCTTTAATTAAAATGGTACATGTATTAAATGTAGTTTATTTACTGCGCTGTAGGCGAGGCTTAGTGAGTTAGAGGAACGGTACCGCACCACTGAGATATCTTTAGCCGCTATAGTTAGCCAGCCCCCAGTAGCCGGTGCGGTCCGACCGAAGGTAGCTTCTGTTAGCTCTGTAGATCCCCCGGTAGTTCCCGAGCAGCCGGGAAGACAGGGAGGCTGGGTGACTGAGCGAAGGAAGACTAGAACGGCGAAGCCCACAGGTCACCACCAACCCATTCACGTTTCTAATACATTTTCCCCACTCAGCGATACACCCGCTGAGGAACCAACTCTGGTTATTGGCAGCTCCATAGTCAGAAACGTGAAGTTAGCGAAGCCAGCGGCCATAGTTAAATGTATCCCTGGGGCCAGAGCGGGCGACATTGAATCATATTTAAAACTGCTGGCAATGAAATTAATCAATTATCTAAATTACAAACATGTCTTACGGACATAAAATCCTGGATGACCTGCAATTTTCTGATGTTAAACTCAGAAAAAACCTAAATTCTTGTTCTTGGCCCCAAAAACCTTAGAGACTCATTGTCTAAAGATATAGTCACTCTAGATGGCATTAACTTGGCCTCTAGCACCACTGTCAGGAATCTTGGAGTTATCTTTGATCAGGATTTGTCATTTAATTCCCACATAAAGCAGACCTCTAAGACCGCCTTCTTTCATTTACGTAATATTAGAAAAATTAGACACATCCTATCACAGACAGATGCAGAAAAACTAATCCATGCATTTGTTACTTCAAGGCTGGATTACTGCAACTCTTTTTTATCAGGTTGCCCCAATAAGTCCATTAAAACGCTCCAATTAATTCAGAACGCTGCAGCACGAGTACTGACAGGAACTAGAAAAAGAGATCACATCTCTCCTGTACTAGCTTCTCTGCATTGGCTCCCTATAAAATGTAGAATAGAATTTAAAATCCTCCTCCTCACCTATAAAGCTCTTCATGGTCAGGCCCCTTCATATCTTAAAGAGCTCATAGTACCCTATTACCCCACTAGAACACTACGTTCTCTGAATGCTGGGCTACTTGTGGTTCCTATAGTCTCTAAAAGTAGAACAGGAGCCAGAGCCTTCAGTTACCAAGCTCCTCTCCTGTGGAACCAGCTTCCAGTTGTGGTTCGGGAGGCAGACACCCTCACCACATTCAAGAGTAGGCTTAAGACATTCCTCTTTGATAAAGCTTATAGTTAGGGCTGGATCAGGTGAGTCCTGAACCATCCCTTAGTTATGCTGCTATAGGCCTAGACTATCGGGGGATTTCCCATGGTGCACTGAGCTCCTCCCTTCCTCTCTCTTTATGCACTCATTCATGTTCCATTCATGCATGTTACTAACTCCACTTCTTCCCCGGAGTTCTTGTGCTTTCTCATCTCGCAGGTTCTCATGGATCCTGGTGGAGCCTCCTGCCATGGTCCTGCTTGACTGCCATTGCCAATACTGTTGTTGCTGTGCACCTGTCTGTCTGTCTGTCTGTCTCTCGCTCTCTCTGCCTCTCCCTCTCGCTCTCTCTCTCTCTCTCTCTCTCTCTCTCTCTCACCCCAACTGGTCGAGACAGACGACCACCCACCTAGAGCCGGAGGATCTGTCCTAGGTTTCTGCCTTTTAACAGGCAGTTTTTCCTTGCCCTTGTCGCCAAGTGCTTGCTCATGGTGGTACTGTTGGGTCTCTGTAAATAATGTTATAAAGAGTTCGGTCTAGACCTGCTCTATTTGAAAAGTGTCCTGAGATAACTTCTGTTATGAATTGGCGCTATACAAATAAAATTGAATTGAATTGAATTGAATTAATATAGTACAAGTACCTAGCATAGTATAGACAAAACCAAAATTTTCTTTAAGTCACCCATTTCACAAGTCAAACAAGGTTATCTTATTATTATATTATTGTTACCTTATAGACTCAAGAATACATTCAATTCCAGACACGGAAGACGCTCTGATTTGAATTTACAATATATTTATTTTAAGTACACACACATAAATTTAAGTCAAATAAATAAATAAAATAGCTTCAAATTACAATGCCAGAAAAGATTAACATTACATTCAAGTTTAACTTAAAGAGAAACAAGGTGCTTGAATGCTCGAGCTACAATAATATATTAAAAAAGTGCAAATGAAATGTGTGTCTGTGACTAACGTTAACCCACCGCAGCTGCATCTTCTAAATAATGCTGCGAGTGGGGATTGAGTTGAGGAAGTGTCGTTGCCTGCGTCTGTGCAGTGCGCTGATGTAGCCCCGAGACTCAGGAAACAGAAATATTACAAAATATTCATAATAGCAAGACGAAATAACGTTATAACATTTCGTCTTGTCTCGTTTTGGTCAACGAAAATGAAGAGATATTTTAGCAGTTTTTATTTTGCAAACCACATTTAGTCCCGTTTTTATTCGTCAACAATATTGCATTATATATTTGATTATAGTTTTCGTCACATGACCACCATTTACGTTGTGTCTCATCTCGTTTCCGTCACATAATAAAGGTTCGTTGACGACGATATTTAGTCATAATTTTCGTTGTCAAAAGCAACACTACTCCTCTCTTCCGCTCTTCCTTTCTCTTTCTGCACACATTCATGTCCCATTAAAGCATGTTACTAACTTCACTTCTTCCCCTTAGTTCTTGTGCTTTCTAGTCTCGCAGGTTCTCATGGATCCTGGTGGTGCCTCATGGCATGGTCCTGCTTGACTGCAATTTGCTAATATCACGGATATTATTGTTATTATTATTATTACTATTATTATTACTACAGATACTATTATTACTATAATGACTGCTCATTGTCCCACACCGTTGTTGTCGTAATCGCCATCATCTTCTTCATGTTCATCATCATCAGTCACTATTATAAAGGGTAGTTGTTGCTACTGTTGTTGCTGTGCACCTTTCCTTCTGTCGTTACCTCTGTTCCGTTTCTGTCTCTCTCTCTGTCTCACTGTGTCTCTCTCTCTCTCTCGCTCTCTCTCTCTCTCTCTCACCCCAACTGATCGAGGCAGACGACCACCCACCTAGAGCCGGGGTCTGTCTGAGGTTTCTGCCTCTTAAAAGGCAGTTTTTCCTTGCCCCCGCTGCCAAGTGCTTGCTCATGGTGGGAACTGTTGGGTCTCTGTAAACAATCTTATAAGGAGTTCGGTCTAGACCTGCTCTATTTGAAAAGTCCTGAGATAACTTCTGTTATGAATTGGCGCTATACAAATAAAACTGAATTGAAATGAATTGAATGTCTGAAGATGACAGATAGATCTAGACATAGATAGGTCATTTTGTAGGAAGTTGTGGGAAATTTTAGGAAATTGTAGGAGGTTGTAGAAGAGCAGGTACAATTTGCTTCCTTAAAGGAACCAGCTTCTGATTTTTCATCATTTAGCTCATTAAAAAAAGCTGTACTGACACTCTCACTGCTGACCCCAGTGGTGTCTTGAGAAGTCGGGAGCTTTTCTCTTTGAGCTTTTGATGTGTCTTGTTGTAGCTGATGAGAGGGAATGACTCCCCTCTCTATGACACTAGATCTCATGACATCCTCTTAACAATTTCCATGACTGATTATCGATTGTTTTCTGGACACTAAGTTGAAGCCAATCAATCGGAAATCTGATCACATGATTCAGAAAATCAGTGACTTTGTTGATAAATCAGTAAGAGGTGTTTGGTTTGTGTGTCCCTGACCTTCTTAAAGATGATCATCATGGAAACATTCTGTTCTTTGTTCTGATCAGCTGCTTCGGCTTTACTCTCTGAAAAGGATATAAAACAACATCTGACTTTAAGAGAATCAGAGAACAAAAACTATACTTTCAATAAATCAATCCAATAAAGTCATTTTTATTTTTTAATATTTTTTAGGCAGTTTGCCTTTATTTGATAGTAAATACAAAGACTGATGGAAAAGGGAGAGAGAGGGGATGACACGCAGCAAGGGGCCAAAGCTTCGATTCATATACAAGCTGCTGCAGTAAGACTAAAACTTTAACTAAACTAAACTATAGATAAACATTGAAATCAATGTTAAAGTTTTTGTCCAGTGGGGTTGTGGATTGTGTCAGTGTGTTTATTTCAAACCTCTGTTCATCAGGTTCACAGAATTGTCCTCATCTGATCTCTGTTTCCTGTTTCTCTTTTGATAAAACTGGAAAAACTCCTGAAAACACATAAAATATTACAATATTGTTATAATAACTGTCTAATTGGATGACAGACAACAAATTTAAAAAACAAAATCTCATTCTAAAGTAACAAAAACACAACCATTTCTCATTTTCAGGTGGTACACACATACAGAATCAGGGTTATTACCAAGTACATTTTCACATACATATTAATCACAATAATAAAAGCCTTTAGCTACCAAGCTCCTCTCTTGTGGAACTAGCTTCCAGTTTTGGTTTGGGAGGCAGACACCCTCTCCACATTTAAGAGTAGGCTTAAGACATTCCTCTTTGATAAAGCTTATAGTTAGGGTTGGTTCAGGTGAGTCCTGAACCATTCTCTTAGTTAAGCTGCTCTAGGCCTAGACTATCGGGGGATTTCCCATGATGCACTGAGCTCCTCTCTTCCTCTCTCTCTCTTTCTGCACTCATTCATGTCCCATTAACGCATGTTACTAACTTCACTTCTTCCCCGGAGTTCTTGTGCTTTCTCGTCTCGCAGGTTCTCATGGATCCTGGTGGTGCCTCCTGCCATGGTCCTGCTTGACTCCCATTGCTAATATCACTGATATCATTGTTGTTATTATTATTACTATTATTATTACTACAGATACTATTATTACTATAATCACTGCTCATTGTCCCCCATCGTTGTTGCTGTTGTCGTCGTTATCATCTTCTTAATGTTCATCATCATCAGTCACTACTATTAGTGTAGTTGTTGCTACTGTTGTTGCTGTGCACCTTTGTCTCTGTCTCTCTCTCTGTCTCTGTCTCTCTCTCCCACCTAGAGCTGAGGGGTCTGTCCGAGGTTTCTGCCTCTTAAAGGAAGTTTTTCCTTGACGCTGTCTCCAAGGTCTTGCTCATAGTGGGAACTGTTGGGTCTCTGTAAATAATATTATGAGTAGTTCGGTCTAGACCTGCTCTATTTGAAAAGTGTCCTGAGATAGCTTCTCTTATGAATTAGCGCTATACCAATAATTGAATAGAATACCCATAATTATTATTCAATTCAATTCAATTCAATTCAATTTTATTTGTATAGCGCCAATTCATAACAGAAGTTATCTCAGGACACTTTTCAAATAGATTAGGTCTAGACTGAATTCGTCAAAACATTATTTACAGAGACCCAACAGTACCACCATGAGCAAGCACTTGGCGACAAGGGCAAGGAAAAACTGCCTGTTAAAAGGCAGAAACCTACGACAGATCCTTCGGCTCTAGGTGGGTGGTCGTCTGCCTCGACCAGTTGGGGTGAGAGAGAGAGAGAGACAGAGAGAGAGCGAGAGACAGACAGACAGGTGCACAGCAACAACAGTATTAGCAATGGCAATCTAGCAGGACCATGGCAGGAGGCTCCACCAGGATCGATAAGAACCTGCGAGACGAGAAAGCACAAGAACTCCACGGAAGAAGTGAAGTTAGTAACATGCATTAATGGGACATGAAAGAGTGCAGAAAGAGAGAAAGAGAGGAGCTCAGTGCACCATGGGAAATCCCCCGATAGTCTAGGCCTATAGCAGCATAACTAAGGGATGGTTCAGGACTCACCTGATCCAGCCCTAACTATAAGCTTTATCAAAGAGGAATGTCTTAAGCCTACTCTTGAATGTGGAGAGGGTGTCTGCCTCCCGAACCCCAACTGGAAGCTGGTTCCACAGGAGAGGAGCTTGGTAAGTGAAGGCTCTGGCTCCTGTTCTACTTTTAGAGACTATAGGAACCACAAGTAGCCCAGCATTCAGACGTAGTGTTCTAGTGGGGTAATAGGGCACTATGATCTCTTTTTCCAGTTCCTGTCAGTACTCGTGCTGCAGCGTTCTGAATTAATTGGAGCGTTTTAATGGACTTATTGGGGCAACCTGATAATAAAGAGTTGCAGTAATCCAGCCTTGAAGTAACAAATGCATGGATTACTTTTTCTGCATCTGTCTGTGATAGTGTGTGTCTAATTTTTGTATTATTACGTAAATGAAAGAAGGCAGTCCTAGAGGTCTGCTCATGTGGAAATTAAATGACAAATCCTGATCAAAGATAACTCCAAGGTTCCTGACAGTGGTGCTAGAGGCCAAGGTAATGCCATAACTAAATAATAAATGAATAACTATATCTTTAGACAGTGAGTCTCTAAGGTTTTTGGGGCCAAGAACAAGAATTTCGTTTTTATCTGAGTTTAACATCAGAAAATTGCAGCTCATCCAGGATTTTATGTCCTTAAGACATGTTTGTAATTTAGATAATTGATTAATTTCATCAGGCTTGATCGATAGATATAACTGCGTATCATCTGCATAACAGTGAAAGTTAATGGAGTGATTCCTAATAATGTTGCCTAAAGGGAGCATATATAAAGTAAATAGTATTTGTCCAAATACAGAACCTTGTGGAACTCCATGACCAACTGTAGTATTTATTGAAGATTCATTGTTAACATGTACAAACTGCGAACGATCTGATAAATATGACTTAAACCCTTTAATGCCAATTTGATGCTCAAGTCTCTGTAAAAGAATATTATGGTCAATGGTGTCAAATGCAGCACTAAGATCTAATAATACAAGTACAGAGACAAGTCCATTGTCAGAAGCAATCAGAAAGTCATTATTAACTTTAACCAGAGCTGTCTCTGTGCTATGATGAACTCTAAATCCTGACTGAAAATCCTCAAATAAACTATTGTTATGTAGAAAGTCACACAACTCTTTAGCGACTACTTTCTCCAGAATCTTAGAGAGGAAGGGGAGGTTAGAGATTGGTCTATAGTTGGCTAAGACCACTGGGTCAAGAGTGGGCTTTTTAAGAAGGGGTTTAATTACAGCTACTTTAAAGGACTGTGGTACATATCCTGATAATAAGGAAAGATCAATCATATCCAGTAAAGTAGTGCCAATACAGGGAACAACTTCTTTAAGCAGCCTAGTTGGGATCGGGTCTAATAGACAAGTTGATGGCTTCGATGAAGAAATGATTGAAGTTAACTGATGAAGATCGATAGCAGAAAAACAGTCTAAATATATATATATCTAAGCGATATTCTGATCATTTGGAAGAGCGCCATTTCTTTTCAGATTTCCTAACTATTTGCTTTAACTGGAGGCTTTGGTGGTTATAATTTCCTTTTTATAGGAGCGATAGAGTCTAATGTTGATCGTAGTGAGCCTGCAGCACTATCGACTAGATTATCAATTTCAGAGGGACTAAAGTTCTTATAGGACTAAATTCAGACATGGCATTGAATTAAACACTGAAGGAATCTCCTCCTTAAATTTAGCTACAGCACTGTCAGATAGACATCTGCTGTAGGAAGTTTTGCCTAATGGCTTATAATCTAACAACATGAATTCAAAAGTTATTAAATAATTGTCAGATAGGAAAGGATTATGTGGGAAGACTATTAAATGTTCAATATCAATGCCATATGACAGAACAAGGTAAAGAGTGTGATTAAAACAATGAGTTGGTTTATTTACACTCTGACAGAAGCCGATTGAGTCTATTAATGATATAAATGCGTTACTAAGGCTGTCATTGTTAACATCCACATGAATATTAAAATCACCTACAATAATTACTTTATCTGATTTAAGGACTAAACTTGATAAAAACTCTGAGACTTCAGATATAAAATCAGAGTACGGTCCAGGAGCACGGTACACTATAACAAATAGAACGGGCTGCAGTGTTTTCCAGTTTGGATGAGAAAGACTAAGAACAAGGCTTTCAAATGAATTATAATTTAGTTTAGGTTTAGGGTCCATTAAAACGCTCGAATCATATATGGCTGCTACTCCACCTCCTCGGCCGGTGCCTCGAGGAATCTGAGTATTAATATGACTGGGGGGGTGGATTCATTTAGGCTAAGATACTCCTCGTGGGACAACCAGGTCTCAGTAAGACAAAGTAAATCAATATCATAATCTGATATTAATTCATTCACTAAAACAGCTTTTGAAGACAGAGACCTGATATTTAACAGTCCACATTTCATTCTCTTATTTTGTGCTACTGAGGAGTTGGTTTTAATTTTTATTAGATTTTTATGTTGAACTCCTCTTTTTTTAATTTCTTTAAATAATTTAGGTGGTCGGGGGACAGACACAGTCTCTATGGGGTTTTGGGTGAGTGACTGTTCTAAAGAAAGCGCAGAGAAGTGTGTAAGACAGCAGCTCTGCTTCCTGGTCCCAACTCTGGACTGTCAGGTTTTAGAAATAAACTTCGCCTTATTTCTAGATAAGAGAGCCACTCCATCCAAAGTGGGATGGATGCTGTCTCTCCTAATCAGACCAGGTTTTCCCCAAAAAGGCTTCCAGTTATCAATGAAGCCCACATCGTTTTCTGGACACCACCTCGACAGCCAGCGGTGGAATGACGACATGCGGCTATACATGTCATCACTGGTCATATTGGGCAGGGGTCCAGAGAAAACTACGGAGTCCGACATTGTTTTGGCATAGTTACACACCGACTCCACATTAATTTTGGTGACCTCCGATTGACGTAAACGGGTGTCATTACCACCGACGTGGATAACAATCTTACTATATTTACGTTTATCTTTAGTCAGCAGTTTTAAATATGATTCAATGTCGCCCACTCTGGCCCCAGGGATACATTTAACCATGGCCGCTGGCTTCGCTAACTTCACGTTTCTGACGATGGAGCTGCCAATAATCAGAGTTGGTTCCTCAGCGGGTTTGTCGCTGAGGGGGGAAAATGTATTAGAAACATGAATGGGTTGGTGGTGAACTGTGGGCTTCGGTGTTTTATTCTTCCTTCGCTCAGTCACCCAGCCTCCCTGTCTTCCCGGCTGCTCGGGAACTACTCGGGGAACTACCGGGGAAACTACCGGGGGAAACTTACCTTCAGTCGGACCGCACCGGCTACTGGGGGCTGGCTAACTATAGCGGCCAAAGATATCTCCGTGGTGCGGTACCGTTCCTCTAACTCACTAAGCCTCGCCTCCAGCGCAGTAAATAAACTACACTTAATACAGGTACCATTATCATTAAAGGAGGCAGAGGAATAACTAAACATCTGACACACTGAGCAGTACAGAGCAGAGAGAGAGGAAGAAGCCATAGCTAACTGCTAATGCTAATGAAGCTAGCGTGCATGAAAAACTTTGAAAATAGCGAAAAGTCGCTAAAAGAAGGAGTAACTCAGAGTGCTTAGGTAGAACTAGTCTACGTTTAAATGTTAAGCAGGAAAATAACCGCTGTAATGAGTAAAACAAATTTAGATTTAGCGTTCACTGACAGAGCTACAGCACGTGTGTGTGTGTGTGTGTGTCAGTTACCAGTTTAGGCAGCAGGATGTAGGAGAGGACAGATAGAAAAATAACACCACAGGCTGTGATAAAATAACCGAATGCTGCATCCTGAAGTTCCGAACCACCTGCAGGACAGAAGGAGAGAAAAGAAGGAAGAGAGGAAGGAAGAAGAGAAATACTTTGATTTTTGACTTCAACAGTAAAAAATATTTGTACATCATCAATGTCTAATAAAAAATTTTTTTGATGGGTTATTAATGAGTTATTGATCAGACTTGCGATGGCGCAGATCATGGCGAAGGCAGCAAAGGTTCCAGCAAGTCCTTGACCACTCATGATGGGGGTCGTATATGAAGCTGGCAGCAACCCCGCCATCCCAAACAAACTGCCCTGCAGGACAGCCCCAAAGGCTGTTAACAAACAAACAAACAACAAAAGACTGATCAGTAAACAGACTGTCCTGCAGTACGTACAAAGACTGTCAGCAACAAACAATAGACTAATAAACAGATGGCCCTGAAGGTTGTCCACAAACACACAAACAATAATCTGGTTAATAAAGGACACTCACAGTTGATGATGACGATCTTCACCATGGTAGAGGAGAAGAATGGAAGCGGCTCCAGAGGAACTTTGACGAGGACAGCAGTGGCCATGAAGACAAACATGATAACGAGCAGACTGCCCATCACACGCAGACGCTGAGAGATCCTGAGAAAGCAAGAAGAATTATTGGCTGTGTTCGGTATCACATACTAACATACTGTGTACCGCATACTCAGTATGTACTACATAGTGTTTACTAAATTAAGTATAGGTATACTGTTCACACTGGAGTTTATTCAAACATACGTGTTCTCTGTATCACATGACTGTGTTCTTGAATTTCCCTCGGGATAAATAAAGTATCTATTTATCTATCTATCTGTATTGATCACAACAAACTCCAACACAGTGCTGTGGAGACGACATTACAGTCTGAGCTACCACTGAATGTGAATTAAAGGTCCAGGATGTAATAATTTAGGAGGACAATCTATTGGCAGAAATGAAATATAATATGCATAGCTATGTTTTCATTAGTATTTAATCAGCTGAAAATAGAATTGTTGTGTTTTCCTTACCTTATAATGAGACATTTTTATCTACAGAGGGAGCGGATCGTCTTCTATGGAGTCCGCTATCCTAAACCACCATGTATCTACAGTAGCCCAGAACGGACAAACCAAACTCTGGATCTAGATAAGGACTTAAGCGTTTAACAGTCTACACATTTGGCAGGGGGTATTCCTCACCGCTAGATGTCACCAAATCCTACACACTGGACCTTAAACAATTCCTTATACATTTAATGGAATATTCTGCAGGATTCTTTCCTGGCAAATGAACATGAAAAAGAAGGAGAGTGGGGCAGTAAAGGCTGTTGTTCGTTGTTTTAATAAAAGAAGAATATAGAAGGTAAATATTAATATCACAGATGGACAGTATTAGCAGCTACCATCAATATATTTTACTGAGAAGCAGAAGAGGAGGCTTCTGAACTGAGGAGGCGACCGCAAGCTGCTATCTGGAGATAATATCTTAGTGTTTGTTACTTACAGTGAGTGCAGGAAGGAGTTTAGGCAGGTGCAGATGAGTAGCGGCAGCATTGCACACAGAGTCATTACGTTGTTGAATTTGGCCTCCAGAACACTGCGATGCTCACCCGCTGGCTCCGTCTGATTAGCTGAAGAATCGACAAATGAGGAGTCCTTCAGACGGCTGGAGAAGTACTGCAGACACAGACAGACGGTGGTATTATTCTGGAGTGCTGTCTCCTGATTCTCTGCGCACTGCTGCATGTGCTAACTGCTACTAGCAGGGAAAGTGGGCAATAGTGCCTCCAAGTGACCACAGCCAGGGGCTGAACACAGCCTCCCAGACAATAAAAGTCTTAGTGATTTCCAGCGGCTTCAACCAGGACTAGACACACCGGGTTCAGGTGGAAACCGGAGAGGTGTGAAGGTAGAGGAGTAAGTTTGTAGAGAGTGAATTTGTAACTGTAGTAATGGTTGTAGTGTAGTAACTGTTAAAGTTATTATATCATATTGATAAGTCCACCAGCATTATAATATAAAATAATAAAATATACAGTATAATATAATATAAAATTATATAATTTATAGCTGTAGACCATAAAGCAGGGTATGCTTTAGGGCGGGCTACCTTGTGATTGACAAGTCATTCAGATCAAACTGTGAAACTAGGCAGTGCTAAACAGATAGGGATCTGGAATACCAGATCCTGTGTACCCGCTCTTCCAAACTAAGAGCAGCCAATGAGAGCAGCTCAACTCACAGTATGTCACCGCTGCTGGCTGCTAAACACCAACATGGAGACGACCATGAAGCCCAACTGAAGGCTTTAGAACGTGACACCACAGACCAATGAAGAGCAATAGAGTCACAGCTGTTTCAGGCCAGAAGATGGTGAACAGACAAGAAGTGATGTCGTACCATGGTAGCAGTCATGAAGAAGTTCCAGGGCAGTAGCGTCCCTAAACCGAGCATGAAGAAGATAAGCCAGACGCCAAAATACCTGCAGGAAGATGTATTTAAAATAAAAGATTTAAAACATTTTATTATGAAACTGACAGGAACATTATGAGCAGAAGACTGTTGTGTGTGTTGTACTGTGTGTTTCAAAGCATGCCTTCAGGAGATAAAAACCTGGATGTCCTGCATTTATCTGATGTTTAACTCAGAAGATCAGCTTCTGTAGATGTAGTGTCATGGTCAGGGCAGTATATTTTTGAATGGTAATCTCTGAATGTTTTATTTATCGCAGTGTGGTCTTGTATGGTGTTTGCGGAAACATCATATCTTAAAGAGCTCATAGTACCCTATTACCTGACTAGAATTTCAATTAAATTCAATTCAAATTTATTTGTATAGCGCCAAATCATCAACAGAAGTTATCTCAGGACACTTTTCAAAATAGAACAGGTCTAGACCGAACTCCTTATAACATTATTTACAGAGACCCAACAGAAACCTAGGACAGAGAGAGAGAGAGAGAGAGAGAGAGAGAGAGAGAGTGGGGGAGAGAGAGACAAAGGTGCACTACAACAACGATACTAATAGAAATGACTGATTATGATATATATATAATAATGTCATAAGGGAGACAAAGGTGATGAGGATGATCACTGTGTGTATTATTGATCACTCAGTCACTCACTGGTTCCTCAGCGACACACCTGCTGAGGAACCAACTCTGATTATTGGCAGCTCCATAGTGAGAATTTTGATGTTAAACTCAGAAAAAAACGAAATTCTTGTACTTGGCCCCAAAAATCTTAGAGACTCACTGTCTAAAGATATAGTTATTCTAGATGGCATTACCTTGGCCTCTAGCACCACTGTCAGGAATCTTGGAGTTATCTTTGATCAGGATTTGTCATTTAATTTCTACATGAGCAGACCTCTAGGACTGCCTTCTTTCATTTATGTAATATTACAAAAATTAGACACATCCTATCACAGACAGATGCAGAAAAACTAATCCATGCATTTGTTACTTCTAGGCTGGATTACTGCAACTCTTTACCATCAGGTTGCCCCAATAAGTCCATTAAAACGCTCCAATTAATTCAAAACGCTGCAGCGCGAGTACTGACAGGAACTAGAAAAAGAGATCACATCTCTCCTGTACTAGCTTCTCTGCACTGGCTCCCTGTAAAATTTAGAATAGAATTTAAAATTCTCCTCCTCACCTATAAAGCTCTTCATGGCCAGGCCCCTTCATATCTTAAAGAGCTCATAGTACCCTATTACCCCACTAGAACACTACGTTCTCTGAATGCTGGGCTACTTGTGGTTCCTATAGTCTCTAAAAGTAGAACAGGGGCCAGAGCCTTCAGTTACCAAGCTCCTCTCCTGTGGAATCAGCTTCCAGTTGTGGTTCGGGAGGCAGACACCCTCACCACATTCAAGAGTAGGCTTAAGACGTTCCTCTTTGATAAAGCTTATAGTTGGGGCTGGATCAGGTGAGTCCTGAACCATCCCTTAGTTATGCTGCTATAGGCCTAGACAATCGGGGGATTTCCCATGGTGCACTGAGCTCCTCTCTTCCTCTCTCTTTCTGCACTCATTCATGTCCCATTAATGCATGTTACTAACTTCCCTTCTTCCCCAGAGTTCTTGTGGTTTCTCGTCTCGCAGGTTCTTATCGATCCTGGTGGAGCCTCCTGCCATGGTCCTGCTAGATTGCCATTACCAATACTGTTGTTGCTGTGCACCTGTCTGTCTATCTGTCTGTCTGTCTCTCTCTCTCTCTCTCTCTCTGTCTCTGTCTCTCTCTCTCTCTCTATCTCTATCTCTCTCTCTCACCCCAACTGGTCAAGACAGACGACCACCCACCTAGAGCCAAAGGATCTGTCCTAGGTTTCTGCCTTTTAACAGGCAGTTTTTCCTTGCCCTTGTTGCCAAGTGCTTGCTCATGGTGGTACTGTTGGGTCTCTGTAAATAATATTATAAAGAGTTTGGTCTAGACCTGCTCTATTTGAAAAGTGTCCTGAGATAACTTTTGTTATGAATTGGTGCTATACAAATAAAATTTAATTGAATTGTATGGTCCTGCTTGACAGCCATTGCTAATATCACTGATGTATTGTTATTAATATTATTATTACTACAGTTACTATTATTACTATTGTCACTGCTCGTTGCCCCCATCAGAATCAGAATCAGAAATACTTTAATAATCCCAGGGGGAAATTATTTTTTTTACCAACTCCAGATACACAAACAACGTTTGTTGTCAAGTCAAATGTACAGTTTAATAATGTGCAAAAAGTGCAAAAAATGATTGTCTGTGTTTGAGTCAGATTACAGGGGTTGGTGTCTGACTCTCTTAGGGAGGCGTTATAAAGTTTAATGACCACAGGCAGGAATGATTTCCTGTGGCGCACTGTGGTGCATCTGGGTGAGAGGAGTCTTCCGCTGAAGGTGTTCCTCTGCTGGGATCGCACTGTCCACAACAGACTCATAGAACCTCCTCAGCATCGTCCGGCAGATGTTAAAGGACCTCAGCCTCCTTAGGAAAAAGAATCGGATTTGGCCCTTTTTGTAGACAGCGTCGGTGTTTCTGGTCCAGTCCAACTTATTATTTAAGTACACCCCCAGTTACTTGTGTTCCTCAACAGTGTCCACAAGGACCCCTGGATGGAAACAGGGGTCACTGGTGATTTTGCCCTCCTCAGATCCACTATGAGCTCCTTTGTCTTTGTCACGTTGAGCTGCAAAGACATCGTTGCTGTTGTTGTCATCGTCATCATCTTCTTCATGTTCATCATCATCAGTCACTACTATTACTGTAGTTGTTGCTACTGTTGTTGCCGTGCAACTGTCTGTCTGTCTGTCTGTCTGTCTGTCTGCCTCAACCAGTTGGGGTGAGAGAGAGAGAGAGAGAGAGAGACAGAGACAGACGACCACCAACCTAGAGCCGAAGGGTCTGTCCTTTAACAGGCAGTTTTTCCTTGTCCCCGTTGCCAAGTGCTTGCTCATGGTGGTGCTGTTGGGTCTCTGTAAATGTTATAAGGAGTTCGGTCTAGACCTGCTCCATTTGAAAAGTGTCCTGAGATAACTCCTGTTATGAAATGGCGCTATACATATAAAATTGAATTGAATTGAATTGTAACAATCATCAACAATCAGATTTTGTCTTTAACATTAAAGAGATCAGCTGTTGTCGCTGTTTATATTCCTCCGACCGCAAACGCGGTGCGCGCGAGTGACGTCATCCACACCGTCGTCGCGGGACTACAGACACGGCACCCAGACGCATTCATCGCGATATCTGGGGACTTCAATCACATCACTCTGGCTGCAACACTGCCCACTTTGAAGCAGTTTGTGGACTGTCCCACCAGGGAAAACAAGACACTGGACCTGCTGTATGCCAATGTTAAGGAGGCTTACAGCTCCACTGCCCTTCCTCCTCTTGGAAGATCAGACCACAATCTCATCCACCTTCAGCCCCTGTATAAGCCCCAAGTCCAGCAGCTTCCTGTGACTACCAGGACTGTGAGGAGATGGTCACAGGAGACCGATTAAGCTTTGCAGGGCTGTTTTGAACTAACAGACTGGGAGTTGCTCTGTGATTCGCACATCAACTTCTGTGTGGACAGTGTTGTTCCTACAGTGACTGTACACTGTTTCCCCAATAACAAGCCGTGGGTCACCAGAGACATCAAGGTCCTGCTGAATGAGAAGAAGAGGGCCTTCAGAGATGAGGACAGGGAGCAGATGAGGTGGGTTCAGAGGGAACTTAAGGAGAGGATCCAACAGGGTAAAGACAGCTACAGGAGGAAGCTGGAGCACAAACTCCAGCAAAACAACTTGAAGGACGTGTGGAACGGCATGAGGAGCATCACTGGCTACAAACCATCTGGCAGCCAGACAATAGGAGGTGGTACTGAACTAGCCAACGAGCTGAATCTGTTTTTCAACAGATTTGATGAGAGGGCTCCGGTCTACCCCTCCCCCAGCTCCTCTACATCCATCCACCTCCAAACCTCCAACCCTGCTGCCCCCCCTCCCCCTCCGTTCCTTCCTGACTACGCCCTACTAGTCCTCTCCCCCCCACCATCACCTCTCCCCACCCCCATCAACACACATGGCAGACAGACCTTCACTGCAGCGCAGGTGAGGAAGGAGCTGTGCAGACTCCGCCCAGGCAAGGCAGCAGGTCCCGACGGTGTCAGCCCGAGGGTCCTCAAAACATGTGCAACCCAACTGAGTGGAGTCCTGCAGCACAACGACCACAGACCTGTGGCGCTGACGTCTCACCTGATGAAGTCCCTGGAGAGGCTGGTCCTGTCAATTCTTCGGCCTCTGATCAGCTCATCCCTGGACCCTCTTCAGTTTGCCTACCAGCCGAGACTAGGAGTGGAGGACGCCATCATCTTCCTGCTCCACCGTGCCTGCGCCCACCTGGACAGACCGGGAAGCACTGTGAGAATCATGTTCATGGACTTCTCCAGTATGTTCAACACCATCTGGCCTGCTCTGCTGGGGAGTAAGCTGACGGCGATGCAGGTGGACCCTCCCCTGGTTTCCTGGATTACGGACTATTTGACGAGTCGACCAAAGTATGTCAGACTGCAGGACGGTGTGTCTGACACTGTGGTCAGCAGCACTGGGGCTCCACAGGGAACTGTTCTTTCCCCCTTTCTGTTCACCCTGTACACCTTGGACTTTCAGTTCCTCTCTGAGTCCTGCCACCTGCAGAAGTTTGCGGACGACTCTGCAATTGTTGGCTGTGTCAGTGAGGGGAAGGAGGAGGAGTACAGGGGTGTTGTGAACGCCTTTGTCGAGTGGTGCGCAACTAACCATCTGCATCTCAACTCCACCAAGACTAAGGAGCTGGTGGTGGATTTTCCCAGGAGGAAATCTGCCCCCACACCCATCTCCATCAACGGTGTGACTGTGGATGTTGTCCAGGATTTCAAATACCTTGGAGTACACCTGGATAACAAACTGGACTTGGCCAAGAACACTGAGGTTGTTTACAAGAAGGGCCAGAGTCGACTCTATTTCCTGAGGAGGCTCCGGTCATTCAACATATGTAACATCATGCTGAGGATGTTCTACCAGTTGGTGGTAGCCAGTGCCATCTTCTTTACTGTTGTGTGGTGGGGCAGCAGGCTGAGGGCATCAGACGCCAAAAAGATCAGCAGGATCACCAGGAAGGCTGGCTCCGTCCTGGGGGTCCAACTGGACTCTTTGGTGGTGGTGTCTGAGAGGAGGATGCTGTGTAAACTGCACAGTCTCCTGGACAACAACGCTCACCCTCTCCACCAGGTGCTAACCTCGAGCAGAAGCACCTTCAGCAACAGACTCATTCCCCACCCGGTGTAACCCAGAACACCAGAGGGAGCCTTTTCTTCCTGTGGCCATCAGGCTATATAACGCATCTACCTCCGGTTGCGAAAGGGACAGTGCAGACACTGTGCCCTGAGCAAATGTCAATTTACCATTTTTTTACCCAATTTTCACTTCATCACTTTATTTAGTTGTACTGTACCATAGTTAATTTATGCTGATAACAAATGCTGCAACAAATTTATGACTTTTACCACTGTTACCACTTTATCCAATCGCTCCTTATCACTTATTTAGTTTGTACTTATTTTATTTCAATTTATGCTGCTAAACTGCACAGTGCGTATTGTTGTATGTTGTATATACTGTACCTACATTTAACTGCAATTTTTGTTGCACTTTGTCACATTTAGTTACTTATTTTCTTATTTTCTACTTATGTTACCTGTAAGTGCTTGCATTTAGTTGTATTTAGTTAACTGTTTGATTTATTTTATGTAAGCCTTTATTTTTATTTAATTTTATTTTTTTATTTTATTTTATTTTATTTTATTTTTGTTTTATTTTATTTTATTTTACTTTATTTTATTTTATTTTAATTTATTTTATGTTAGCTTATTTTTACTCTAACCCTGTAGTACTTTACTTTACCACCTTTGTATTGAAACTGTTGCACAGTAATTTCCCTCGGGATAAACAAAGCTTCTTGAATCTTGAATCTAAAACTTTAAGAGAATGTGTGAACATCTGTAACATCCTGCAGTATTGATTAGACATCTAACAATTTGTCAATAATTGAACTGAACACAGAAAATGTTTGTTTATAAAATTGTTTTTTGCTCACTTGTCTCTGGGTGAGTCGGCGGCCATTTTCTACTGAAGACCTGATGGACTGAAGACTTCCTGTGAGCAACAGGTTTAAAGTTGCTCAGTGTGTGACAGAGAGCTGGACAAAGAGAGACAGAGACACTTTTAACAATTCACACTACCAAAATAACAAATTAAAAATGGTTTGACAATGAACATAAAGAAATTAGAAAAACCCAAGACAGCTATCAAACAAAAAACACAGACACCAGCATCACCCAGTTCTATTACATGAACACTTAGAAACTCTAAAACAGTAGACACGAACCATTAGACCAACCCAACGAAAGGCTTCAGGAGATTGAAAATGCAGTAGACCAGGATCAGTTGAACAGTTTAAATTGTTCAACATGTACTACAAAGTACATGTACTTCAAACTACTCAAAAGACAAATTAATTGAAAGCCTAATTATTATATGGGAGAAGACTGCAGACAGTATAACTGGCAGAATATAATAATGCATGTCACACAGCAAGACTGATTTCAATAAAGGTGTTATTTTTTCTCTTCTATTCAATTCAATTTTATTTGTATAGTGCCAATTCATAACAGAAGTTATCTCAGGACATTTTTCAAATAGAGTAGGTGTAGACCGAACTCTTTAAAACATTATTTACAGAGACTCAACAGTAAAACCATGAACAAGCCATTGGCGACAAGGGCAAGGAAAAACTGCCTGTTAAAAGGCAGAAACCTAGGACAGATCCTTCGGCTCTAGGTGGGTGGTCGTCTGTCTTGACCAGTTGGGGTGAGAGAGAGATAGACAAACAGACAGACAGACAAACAGACAGGTGCACAGCAACAACAGTATTGGCAATGGCAATCTAGCAGGACCATGGCAGGAGGCTCCAGCAGGATCGATAAGAACCTGCAAGACGAGAAAGCACAAGAACTCCGGGGAAGAAGTGAAGTTAGTAACATGCATTAATGGGACATGAATGAGTACAGAAAGAGAGAGGAAAAGAGGAGCTCAGTGCACCATGGGAAATCCCCCGATAGTCTGGGCCTATAGCAGCATAACTAAGGAATGGTTCAGGACTCACCTGATCCAGCCCTAGCTATAAGCTTTATCAAATAGGAATGTCTTAAGCCTACTCTTGAATGGGGAGAGGGTGTCTGCCTCCCGAACCACAACTGGAAGCTGGTTCCACAGGAGAGGAGCTTGGTAACTGAAGGCTCTGGCTCCCAGACTATAGGAACCACAAGTAGCCCAGCATTCAGAGAACGTAGTGTTCTAGTGGGGTAATAGGGTACTGTGAGCTCTTTAAGATATGAAGGGGCCTGACCATGAAGAGCTTTATAGGTGAGGAGGATGATTTTAAATTCTATTCTACATTTTACAGGGAGCCAGAGCAGAGAATCTAGTACAGGAGAGATGTGATCTCTTTTTCTAGTTCCTGTCAGTACTCGTGCTGCAGCATTCTGAATTAATGAAGCATTTTAATGGACTAATTGGGGCAACCTGATGGTAAAGAGTTGCAGTAATCCAGCCTTGAAGTAACAAATGCATGGATTAGTTTTTTTGCATCTGTCTGTGATAGTATGTGTCTAATTTTTGTAATATTACGTAAATGAAAGAAGGCAGTCCTAGAGGTCTGCTTCATGTGGGAGTTAAAAGACAAATCCTGATCAAAGATAACTCCAAGATTCCTGACAGTGGTGCTAGAGGCCAAGGTAATGCCATCTAGAGTAACTATATCTTTCAGGATCTGTCCTAGGTTTCTGCCTTTTAACAGGCAGTTTTTCCTTGCCCTTGTCGCCAAGTGCTTGCTCATGGTGGTACTGTTGGGTCTCTGTAATTAATGTTAAAGAGTTCGGTCTAGACCTGCTCTATTTGAAAAGTGTCCTGAGATAACTTCTGTTATGAATTGGCGCTATACAAATAAAATTGAATTGAATTGAATTGAATTGAATCTTTAGACAGTGAGTCTCTAAGGTTTTTGGGGCCAAGAACAAGAATTTTGTTTTTTTCTGAGTTTAACATCAGAAAATTGCAGCTCATCCAGGATTTTATGTCCTTAAGACATGTTTGTAATTTAGGTAATTGATTAATTTCATCGGGCTTGATCGATAGATATAACTGCGTATCATCTGCATAACAGTGAAAGTTAATGGAGTGATTCCTAATAATGTTGCCTAAAGGGAGCATATATAGAGTAAAAAGTATTGGTCCAAGTACAGAATCTTGCGGAACTCCATGACTAACTGTAGTATTTATTGAAGATTCATCGTTAACATGTACAAACTGTGAACGATCTGAAAAATATGACTTAAACCAGCTTAGTGCGGTTTCTTTAATGCCAATTTGATGCTCAAGTCTCTGTAAAAGAATATTATGGACAATGGTGTCAAATGCAGCACTAAGATCTAATAATACAAGTACAGAGACAAGTCCATTGTCAGAAGCAATCAGAAGGTCATTATTAACTTTAACCAGAGCTGTCTCTGTGCTATGATGAACTCTAAATCCTGACTAAAAATCCTCAAATAAACTATTGTTATGTAGAAAGTCACACAACTCTTTGGCGACTACTTTCTCCAGAATCTTAGAGAGGAAGGGGAGGTTAGAGATTGGTCTATAGTTGGCTAAAACCCCAGGGTCAAGAGTGGGCTTTTTAAGAAGGGGTTTAATTATAGCTACTTTAAAGGACTGTGGTACATATCCTGATAATAAAGAAAGATTAATCACATCCAGTAAAGAAGTGCCAATTAAGGGAACAACTTCTTTAAGCAGCCTAGTTGGGATCGGATCTAATAGACAGGTTGATGGCTTCGATGAAGAAATGATTGAAGTTAACTGATGAAGATCGATAGCAGAAAAACAGTCTTAATATATATCTAAGTTGACATTAGCAAAAGTCCCTGAACTTGGAGAGCCATTGATAACTGTTGATGGCAGTTGGTGATAAATTTTCTCTCTAATAGTAATAATTTTAGTATAGAAGAAGCTCATGAAGTCATTGCTACTTAAGTTTATGGGGATATGTGGCTCAATAGAGCTGTGACTCTCTGTCAGCCTGGCTACAGTGCTGAAGAGGAACCTAGGGTTATTCTTATTTTCTTCATTAGTGCTGAGTAATAGGCTCCTCGGGCCTTTCTATAAGTTTTAAGATTATCTTGCCAAATCGAGTGATATTCTGATAATTTGGAAGAGCGCCATTTCCTTTCAGATTTCCTTGCTATTTGGTGGGTTTGGTGGTTGTACCACGGTGCTAGTCTCCTATGTTTTAATAATTTCCTTTTTATAGGAGCGATAGAGTCTAATGTTGATTGTAGTGAGCCTGCAGCACTATCGACAAGATTATCAATTTCAGAGGGACTAAAGTTGTTATAGTTGTATATAGGAGTTCTTGTGGTTTCTCTTCTCGCAGGTTCTTATCGATCCTGGTGGAGCCTCCTGCCATGGTCCTGCTAGATTGCCATTGCCAATACTGTTGTTGCTGTGCACCTGTCTGTCTCTCGCTCTCTCTCTCTCTCTCTCTCTCTCTCTCTCTCTCTCTCTCTCTCTCTCTCTCACCCCAACTGGTCGTGACAGACGACCACCCACCTAGAGCTGAAGGATCTGTCCTAGGTTTCTGCCTTTTAACAGGCAGTTTTTCCTTGCCCTTGTCGCCAAGTGCTTGCTCATGGTGGTACTGTTGGGTCTCTGTAATTAATGTTTTAAAGAGTTCGGTCTAGACCTGCTCTATTTGAAAAGTGTCCTGAGATAACTTCTGTTATGAATTGGCGCTATACAAATAAAATTGAATTGAATTGAATTGAATGTCAAATTTAACTGGGAGAGGGAAGCAAATATAACTTTGACAGAGGACAATTGGCTAAACATATGTGAAATAAACTCCTCCACCACCAGTTCAGGGCAGTGGAGGGAATTTGCATGGAAGAATATTATCAGGTTTTTTATCACCCCAAGAAGAAAATTTCTACAGAGTGGCAGTACAGAATCTGGGCATTGCTGGAGACAATGGAATAATGTGATGGCTGACCATTGTCACATCTTTGGTGTTGTCCAGTAATTCAACCGTACTGGCTAGTTGTAGTTAAAGAAATAAATTCTATTCTTGGTTTTGACATCGAGTATAATTTTCAGACTGTATATCTGTGTAATCTACCAGTTGATCTCAATTCCCAGGATAAGTATCTTCTTAAGATATCGATAACAAGGAAATGGCTTAACAGGGAGCCGCCGACTGTGGGAGAGTGGTCAGCCACTGTAAAAGAAATACATGAAATGGAGATGTTGACTTTTTCTCTAAGATTGAACCGTAATAAAGCCCAGAGGTATTGGTTGAAATGGCTCTTGTATATAAATGAGAAAACTGAATAGAGCAGCTCCTTTCTTTTTCATTTTGTTTATCCTCAGCACTGTGACTGATGCTTTGTTGGACTTGCCCTGGAGAGACTCCCTTCTCTGGCCGGCTGGCTTTTGCCTGCCTTCCTCTAATCCCCTCCCTCTTCATCTCTCACCTATGGATTTTTGTAACCCTATAGTACAAGGAGTAATACTATTGTATGTTTCTTTTCTTTCTGGAACAATATTTTTATTTATTTATATATATTCCCCTGGTGACCTATATGTTCAGGATTGTTTGATTTGTATGTTTTGTTTGTCTTTGTAAAACTTTTAAAACTTTGCATTTAAAAATAAATTAAAATTTAAAAAAACTGTCTCTTCCTGTACTCCCTCACTCTCCTGGCTGTCTTGTCTCATTGTTTCTGTTTCATTATGGTTCTGGCTCTACGTTTTCTTTACCTCAGCAGCTGCTTTGTAGGAAACATTTTGCTTTGACAGAGTTTTTTTCTGGACATGCTCAGATCAGATGTCCCTCTCTACCAGAACTAAAATATTTCATGTTATCTGATGTTGCAAAAATTACAAAATCAAAGTCATCCACTCTTGGTTTAAAGTTCAACTCCTCAATCCTGTTGTTAAGGATCATGTGTAACTGCTTTCTGTGTGACAGTACATGTTTTAACAGAGGAGACTTACAGCCTGAGGGAACTTTTTTTATCTGGGAGAGGATTTTTGACGAGACTCCTGTGTCAATATATCATCTCTAAGAATGGGGGGACATTAGACAATGTAACTTTTCTCGCCGGTGTAGCGAGAGGCAAAACAAGACACAAACGTATCATTGATTGCGATCTCGTTTTCCACCATCGTGTTCACCTTTTAAACACTGTCTACAAAAATGACCACAACATTCTTCATCCAAGCAGCAGACTTAACCAGGAAATGATGAACTAATATGTCAATCAATTAATGACATGGATCAATAAACATACATTGTTGATATTTTAAACACATTCCTGTAAAAACATGCAGCAGCTCAGATGTCTGAGTGTCCCTGCAGTTCTGCTGTCACTGTGGAAACACTTTGTCATGTGTCCTACCACAGTGAGGAAGTGCCACATAAATACATTTTAAGAATAAACATTAATACAAATAACAAAAAACAGCTTACCTTCAATGTTTTTTCAGGATGACAGCAGGCCCCGATGTTCTTTCAATGTTCTCTCAATATTCTCAAGATATTTTTCTTGTCAGTCAGTATTTTCCCCTGCTGGTTAAATGTCAGCAACAACCAGCTCCTTGATTTTACACACCTTGTTAAATTAAGTTACTTTGTTGAAGTTTTAAATAGTCAGTTTTCAGTTAAATATTCTGGTAGTTTGTTGATATTCAGTCAGTTTTTGGTGAGTTGTTTGAGTCTTTGGTCGGTTTCTCTAAAGTTAAAGTTTTTTCTCCTCTGCAGTCTCCTTCAGTCTGTTTTTCTCTCCAGTCAGTTGAGAAATCTTTCTTCCTGTTTTTCTGTCAAGTTTCTTTAAATCCTCTTTCTCTTCCTCCACTCATCTGTCTCCCTTCTTTCTGCACTTTCAGCAGAATCTGTTCAGTCTGCAGTAACCTTTGACCTCTGACCTCTGATATCAGTCAGTTCAGTGGACTTTGTTTCTGTGTAAATGACGATAATGTGATAACAGCACAGACCCACAGGTTTGTTACGAGTTGAAGAGAAACACTTGTTTTTTAATTTCTAATCCGATTCTATTAAACTGATTGTATTCATGATATTAACTATTAAAACTGTCAATCTTTGTGACACAGGAGGATTAAATAAATGACTTTTTTTGAAATGAACTTGTTTGCTTGCACATTGACCTTTAATTTGTAAAGAACTGTGAAACATGTATTTATGTGTACTTTTTTCTTTATTCATCTCTGTTGTGTTTCAGCATCAGTCATGTAGGTTATAATCACTGACATTTGACATTCAACTTTATGTGATGAAATAAATTATTTAGTCCATTTAGAAACATCAACATCAATAAATAAGTATTAGTAATACTAATAAAAAGTAACTGATTTCTACAATGTATACAAAATAAAATAAAGAACAGCTATTAAATCAGTGAAATAAATAAATAAAAACCTAAAGCAGATAATTACAGACTGATAAGAAATCTTGGAGTTATCTTTGATGAGGATTTGTCATTTAACTTCCACATAAAGCAGACCTCCAGGACTGCCTTCTTTCATTTATGTAATATTACAAAAATTAGACACATCCTATCACAGACAGATGCAGAAAAACTAATCCATGCATTTGTTACTTCAAGGCTGGATTACTGCAACTCTTTGTTATCAGGTTGCCCCAGTAAGTCCATTAAAACGCTCCAATTAATTCAGAGCGCTGCAGCACGAGTACTGACAGGAACTAGAAAAAGAGATCACATCTCTCCTGTACTAGCTTCTCTGCACTAGCTCCCTGTAAAATGTAGAATAGAATTTAAAATCCTCCTCCTCACCTATAAAGCTCTTCATGGTCAAGCCCCTTCATATCTTAAAGAGCTCATAGTACCCTATTACCCCTCTAGAACACTACGTTCTCTGAATGCTGGGCTACTTGTGGTTCCTATAGTCTCTAAAAGTAGAACAGGAGCCAGAGCCTTCAGTTACCAAGCTCCTCTCCTGTGGAACCAGCTTCCAGTTGTGGTTCTGGAGGCAGACACCCTCACCACATTCAAGAGTAGGCTTAAGACGTTCCTCTTTGATAAAGGTTATAGTTAGGGCTGGATCAGGTGAGTCCTGAACCATCCATCCCTTAGTTATGCTGCTATAGGCCTAGACTATCGGGGGATTTCCCATGGTGCACTGAGCTCCTCTCTTCCTCTCTCTTTCTGCACTCATTCATGTCCCATTAATGCATGTTACTAACTTCACTTCTTCCCCGGAGTTCTTGTGCTTTCTCATCTCGCAGGTTCTTATTGATCCTGGTAGAGCCTCCTGCCATGGTCCTGCTAGATTGCCATTGCCAATACTGTTGTTACTGACTGTCTGTCTTTCTCTCTGTCTGTCTGTCTCTCTCTCTCTCTCACCCCAACTGGTCGAGACAGACGACCACCCACCTAGAGCCGAAGGATCTGTCCTAGGTTTCTGCCTTTTAACAGGCAGTTTTTCCTTGCCCTTGTCGCCAAGTGCTTGCTCATGGTGGTACTGTTGGGTCTCTGTAAATAATGTTATAAAGAGTTCGGTCTAGACCTGCTCTATTTGAAAAGTGTCCTGAGATAACTTCTGTTATGAATTGGTGCTATACAAATAAAATTGAATTGAAAAAAATACCTTTAAAACTAAATCATGTTCATATAATCTACAGGACTTAAAAAAACCAAAATGTCTTTTGTCAACTTAAAATGATTGTGTTTATATCTTAAATACACATTATTTATTAATAAAGATGATATAAAGAGATGTTTTGAATCCTGCTATGAGTTTGTAATAAAGTGAAGTTTTACAGCAGCTTACTGATTAATAATTAACATCAAAATCAGCACTGATTAGTGTTAATCATTAATGACAGGTTGAGACTCAGATCTGTTAACAGGAAACCAGTAAAACGGGTCAAACCAGTGTACCATTAGTGTGACATTCAGTGTTGGCCCAGGGACTGACTCCAGATCCGATCCATTGCTTTGCTCAAAGGCCCTGACAGGAGACTTAACATACATGTTTTGATGGTGGAGGAAACCCACACAAAAGGCTGGAAATTGAACCCAGGACCTTGTTGTGAGCCACTAAACAAAATGTGCAGAATCGTTTCTCTCAACACAAAAGTGCTTCATCCCAGATCTCTCCAGGATCCTGACAGAGTTTTAATTCCAGAAAAAATAAACACTGTGCACTCAGGCGCTTGAAGAACCTTTGCATTGATGATTTTCTTAAAAATTTGGAACCTTGTGTTGTTTTCATCCATATTTTCAGGCTCAGATTCTTCTTTTCTGCATTTGTTGGCTCCTGTAACCCTGATTCTACCCCATGGTCTAACCCCACCCCTGCTCCTGACAAATTGTAAAGAATATGTTAATTGCTTGACAAGAGAATAAAACCCTGGACCAGTGTGAAGGGGGCATACAGCTCATCAATTCAATTCAATTCAATTCAGTTTTATTTGTATAGCGCCAATTCATAACAGAAGTTATCTCAGGACACTTTTCAAATAGAGCAGGTCTAGACCGAACTCTTTAACAAATTATTTACAGAGACCCAACAGTACACCATGAGCAAGCACTAGGCGACAAGGGCAAGGAAAAACTGTCTGTTAAAAGGCAGAAACCTAGGACAGATCCTTCGGCTCTAGGTGGGTGGTCGTCTGTCTCGACCAGTTGGGGTTAGAGAGAGAGAGAGAGAGAGAGAGAGAGAGAGAGAGAGAGAGAGAGAGAGAGAGAGAGAGAGAGAGACACACACAGACAGACAGACAGGTGCACAGCAACAACAGTATTGGCAATGACAATCTAGCAGGACCATGGCAGGAGGCTCCACCAGGATCGATAAGAACCTGCGAGATGAGAAAGCACAAGAACTCCGGGGAAGAAGTGAAGTTAGTAACATGCATTAATGGAACATGAATGAGTGCAGAAAGAGAGAGGAAGAGAGGAGCTCAGTGCACCATGGGAAATCCCCCGATAGTCTAGGCCTATAGCAGCATAACTAAGGGATGGTTCAGGACTCACCTGATCCAGCCCTAACTATAAGCTTTATCAAAGAGGAATGTCTTAAGCCAACTCTTGAATGTGGAGAGGGTGTCTGCCTCCCGAACCACAACTGGAAGCTGGTTCCACAGGAGAGGAGCTTGGTAACTGAAGGCTCTGGCTCCTGTTCTACTTTTAGAGACTATAGGAACTAAGACCTATAGACTAGGGGATAGTGGGATGATGAACTCCTCCTTGAAGGTGGTAGGGGGTTGCAGACAAAACCGCAGACGAATCAGAATCAGATCAGTGTCCAAAGGTCCAGGGAACAGTCAAAAGCAAAGGTCAGGAAACAGGCAGGGTCGGGAAGAGGGGATCAGTCCTAATTCGCAAGCTGGAGAGTCATACATAGCAGTGGAACAATCTGGCTGTGAGCAGAGGGTGAGTAAGGCTCTAAATACTGTGGTGACCAGGTGGAAGCAGTTGCACTGATGAGGGGGTGTGACTGCAGGAGTGGTTGAGCAGGGGTAGAAATTTCCACTGCAGGTGAGTGTGAAGAGAAAGGAGGGGTGTGGCTATGAGCAGTGCAGGAGAGAGGCAGACTAGACTGTGACAGTGTTTCTATGTCATGGACTGGAAACTGTTGAAGGAGGACTACAGGGATACAGGGTTAGGGTTAAAAACATCCTGAAGAATAAACCGTGCATTATTCAGACTGACATGTTCCTGTTCTTCTCTTTGGTCAATTTCTAACGTAAATAAAACATGAATACATGTAAGCAAACAAACAAGTTACTAAATTAACAGTGACATGTCCGACTATAGATTATAGATGATAGGCTATAGATTATTGATGATTGGTTAGAGATCAAGTTACATTTTTAATTTACTTCACCTGTAGGAGGAACTGATCCAGAGTCAGCAGTTACTTCAGTTCAGTTTATTAAATGTTTTCAGCACTCAAACATCACATGTAAAGCAAAATCAATTAATGAAGCATAATCAATTATGTGACTATAAACACCCAAACAGCTGAAGCAGAATAACAAAGTTAGTCTTTATCTGGTCAGTGAAGAATCAACTGAGATCCTGATTCCAGCTGATGATGTCACAGATCCTGCAGAAAGAAAAAGAAGAAAATAGATTATTGATTGATTGATCTATGGCTCCATATTCAAAGATTTAAAATCAATGTTCATGAAAGAAAGTCTGAAAACAAGTCCTGGCTCTTTATATTTAGACATTTTAACTGTCCAATAAGAGTTTAAATATTAACAAAACTTAACACAACACATGTTGGTGCTGACTTTAAAGCTCATTATGTAACTTTACAATAACATAATCCTGTTTATGTTCCACTGACTGTAACAGAGTGAATGGTTCCTCTGTCTTCCTGGTTTTGCACTGTGTAACTCATTGGGCCAGGACAAGAGCTTTACAGTCACACCACCTGTCAGTGATTTTCATTTAACTGGATCATATTTTATGGAGAAAACATTTTCTGGTTTTCCCTCTGTCCCTTCTACACTGGTCACACTGGTCAGAATCATACACTGGTCAGAATCATAATCATAATTAGGATCGGGTTTATTGCGAAGTAAGTTTTTTTTTTTCAGGGTCCTAGATGCGTAGAGGTCCTGGAGGGATGGAAGATTTGCACCAGATCACCTTCTCAGCAGATCAAATAATAGGCTGCACTCCTTGGCAGTGGCAGCAGCGTACCAGATGGTGATGGAAGAGGTGAGGATGGACTTAATGATGGCAGTGTAGAAATGCACCATCATCGTCTTTGGCAGGTTGAACTTCCTCAGCTGCCGCAGGGAGTACATCCTCTGCTGTACTTTCTTGGTGAGGGAGCTGATGTTTAGCTCCCACACGAGGTCCTGGTTAATGGTACCCAGGAAGTGGAAGGAGCAACTGGGGAGTCACACAGGA